CCTGTTTGCATTTCTTTCATTCTCGACTTCTCATTAAAGTCCAAGGGTCTCAGACTATTGTATAGGCCCAATAGCTTTTAGTGTGTGTATGTATATGCAGGTACATATGGCCTTCTATTATAGCCTTTCTTATTATTGTTTGAGGCATGTTGCATATTAGGAACATCCTGTGGGGTCTCGAAATGTAAAATTAAACATCTGCCATCCCTCCCCACTCTCCAGGGGTGGTCAGATGTACTACATGTTTGGGTTTCTCCTGCTGGCATTTGTGGTACTGGTTGTGGTGTGTGCCCAGACCTCCATCCTCCTCTGCTACTTCCACCTCTGCTCTGAGGACTACCGCTGGTGGTGGCGCTCCTTCTTCTCCACTGGTACACGTCCATTCTCTCTTCCTCCCTTACTTACCTCCTCGTGGGTCCAGCCCTTCTTTAGTCTGTCTCTCCCTCACTCTCTTCCTCCCTTACCTCCTCACTCTTACTGGTGGGTACAGGCCCTTCTTTAGTCTGTCTCTCCCTCACTCTCTTCCTCCCTTGCCTCCTGTCTCTTCTCCTGCCTTATGCCATGGTGATTTATCTCTTTGCCTTAATTCTTATTCCCTTCCTCATTTTCCTCTTCCTCCCATAGTGGAACATCTCTAATCAGGACACCAGTAACACGGAAGAAAGTGTCCATGTTAGTGAGGTGTCCTTATTTCAATGGTTGAAAGAGATTGTAAGAAAAGGTGTCCGTATTAAAGAGGTGTCCTCATTTCAGGGGTGTCATTAGAGAGGGGTTCCACTGTACACCTCATTCCCTCCTCCTCCTCCTCCTCCTCCTCCTCCTCCTCCTCCTCCTCCTTCTTCTCCTCCTCCTCCTCCTCCTTCTTCTCCTCCTCCTCCTCCTTCTTCTCCTCCTCCTCCTCCTCCAGGCACCACGGCCTTCTACCTATTCTTGTTCTCTCTCCATTACTTTGTGTACAAGACGACCATCACAGGCGGGCTGTCCTACTTTGTCTTCTTTGGATACACGTTCATCATGGTCTTTCTCTTCTGGATTCTCTCTGGTAACAACAAATTTTGGCCAAGTGTGTATATATAATAATATAAAGAGTTGCACCTTTGGACCCCTAAACAAAATGTTTGCAGATGTCTATACACTCTGCCTTGTGTATGTGAATTCCCTCCCTGAGTATGATTGAACTATGGCCAAAGTCATTAAGAGTCTAGCAGTATCGTCTGGGTTACCTTGTATACAAATTGTCCCACCCACCTGAAACTGTCTGAATAATATGATTTTTTCCTGCAGGTACCATAGGTTTTTTGGCATGCCTGCTGTTTGTTCGTAAGATATACGCCATCGTCAAGATAGACTGATATTTGAGCTCTGATTAGAGGAGTCCCTCGTAATGTTGCTCATTAAATAGAGTAAAGTTTGACTTTATCATAGTTACACTATGCTGCTGTGATTCTCTTTCTCTCACTCTTACAATGATACATTCCATTAGTATAATAATGCTTCTTTGCCGAAATTCTCCATCAATTTGGCTACGATAATAGCTTGAAACGTGGGCAAATTTTACAAACCCATGGTTATTGTGGGCAGAGAAGTGAACACTATAGTTTGTAGTGCCATAATTATTTAGTGGTGGAGACAGACCATGCACAGACAAGGATCCCGGGAGAGGTTCAAACAGGGGGAGTGGGCAAACTGTATACAAGACATTGTCCAATGCAGCCAGCCCATATACAGGCCTCTCCCTGTGCTTGCATGCTATGTACACTGCTGAGGGTTAATCAAGTCAGTGTATGTAGCGCTGAACCCGTTTGTATCACCTTTCTTTCTGACCGGTTTATTGCATGTGGTGGTAGAAAACTTGGACGAACGTAGTACACCTCTTTGCACATGCGCGGAGAGAAATAATTATCGTCGACGGACGTGGCAAAATTTTAAAGATTCTGAGAATCCCGTCTTGCAGTCGAACATCGACACAATACATTTTCCAGTGTCGATCAATTATTGGAGGTTGACAACAGAAAGAGATGAAGTGAGACAGTGTTGTACACAATTGCCACTAGACCAAAGAAGTTACAACACAATAAATTGGTCAGAGGAATCATACCACTATCGCTGGTTGAAAGGTAGTCTGGTGTAGCCACACCCATGAGTGCAAGCAACGCGAGGGTCTGGCATCAAGCTTGATCGCAATTGCATGATTTGTGCAGCCCAATCAGATCGCAGAACGTCACGTTATACGCTCCACCCCTCATTAGCACAATGGCTACTCGTCCTTTCATAAATTTACGTCACGAAACTTAAACAATTTTGGGTAAGGCATTACGTAATCGGTACAGATCGCGGTAAAGCTCGACACCAGACCCTTGCAGGGCTTACACTCGAGGGTGTGGCCCCGCCAGACTAGTTGAAAAGTAGGATGAAAGGGAATAAACCACCGCTACAAGTGTCACCAAAGCAAAGACAGACACACACAAGTCCTGTACAACACACAATACTATGCTGCCTGACTGGTGCAGGGCGTCTACAACTTTGGTTGCCTGGGGATACATCAACCCCAGAGCTGCCTTTACTAACCCCAGGGTCCCTGGCAACTGGGGCTGATGTGGGGTGCCCCTGTTCGTTAGTGCTATAACGAGCACCCACAGTTGCAGACATAGTTCAGAGGTGGCAAAGACAGCAGTGAAGCAGGGAGAGTGGTTGCCCATGGTAATCCAGAGTAGAGGTACCAGTAATGCTAGACACAGTCTTGTTCGTCGCAAGTTCTGCAGACCTCCTGCCCATCTGGCCAAGAGAGACACGTTTGGATGGGCTGCAACAGTCAGTGGAGGACGCTCTCTCTGTGGTGGCAACTCTACCAACTCGTCTGGAGGATCTGCAGCGAGATCACCTGATAACTACGCATGCGCACTTGCAAAACGAGTGTTGACCTACCTTCTTCAGCTGGAGTGGAATCCGAGTCATGTTCCAAGCTTTCTCTCGCCTCCGCTAATAACCCCTTCCTCTCATCTTCTGCAGACTTCTCTCCGTCGTCGCTAGGTACCGAAAACCTGCGATATAACGTATTTAGCAGCGCTGTGGGCTGGTAGCACTGCTGCTTGCCTTTGCTGCATGCTCAACACCCTCTCCATGCGACTCTGAGCGTTTTCTCCGATCTTTTTCCGTCTCTCTGCTCGCATCCTGTCAGCTCTGGCCCGTACGGACCGCCTCCTTTCTTCCTCGTCCTCAGCCATGTGGCCCGGATCGTCTGCGCAAGCGCACTGCGCGTTAAAAACAAGCGCACCGTCATGCTTACGCATGCGCATTGATCGGCAAAGAAGACGGGGGAAGGTGCGTGGTGTGGTGTGTTTCTTCACTTGATCGGTTCACTGAGACTTAGGAGTGACTGGCTTGTGAGTAGAGAGTCCTTACGGCCGTCGGACATGACCAGATGAGATAGGGACACGAGGTTAGCACGGCGTCGGGTAACAGAGTCGACCGAGCGTACGTGTCTCCCCACGCAGTCTACCGGAGGTGAAGCCATGTCTAAAGACAGACAGAAAACCTACAAGAACAGAGGCCGTAACATTACGGTACGGGCGGAGCTAATTGGGAGAGTATCGTTTCTTTCTCTGTTGTGCAGGACCTTAGAAATCAGAGGTCAGAGGTCACAGTTGAACTGAGGCGGGTGAGTTGTACATCACGTGATCGTCATGTGATTATGCACTTACGCACCATTTAGTACATACACACAAGTCTCACTTGTGGAAGTGCATGTCCCATTCAGTAGGCATAATTTAGAATCAACAAGTGCCTTGTATTGTCATGAGCAGCCAGTGTTTTCACCAACACGACCATGCCACATGAAAAAAGACCTCATTTCTATGGGATAACTAAACGAATAAAGGCCATGCTTGCATTACATATAATTATACCTGTATTTTTTTATCGAAACAAGCACCATCTATTATTTTTAAGTGTCCATTAAAAGGAGGATAAGTGATTTGTGTTGTGTGTTGTGCATACCTTATAGAATAAAACTATCACCAATTTCATGGTTTTTGAGCTCCAGTTTGTGGGCAGGGTCAAGCAATATTATGTATGCTACATATATAGCTCTTCTACCTCAAAAGAGTTTTGGCTACATTATGGTTTAGAATCGGAAGGAGGAGGCGTTGAGGAAGCGGCGGAACATTCCTGAGGATGCAGAGGACTATCAGAGCCCCCTGGGAGCAGGGTTGACACTGGAGAGTCTGGTGATAAAAGCCCAGAGCTCCAACCAAGAGGAACAGTTTTCAGCAGTGCAAGCCACCAGGTGGGGCTGCCACTTGCCCTCACACTCTCTCCCTCTCTCATCTTTTTCTCTTCTTCCCCTCCTCCTTCTCTTCCTCTCTCACCTCCTCCTCTTCCTCTTCTCTTACTTTCATATTAATGTAGTCTGTGTGTACCGCTATTCTTACCAGAAACAGGCGCATTCCACTCAGCGTGCATATTATGTACTTGCATTGAAATTGGGAATGGTTCTCCCTCATCTCCTCCCCCCTCCCCTCCTCCTTCTCTTGCAATACACAGGAAGATATTATCGAAAGACAAGAACCCTCCCATAGATGAGATCATAAGGTGAGGTCATTTGGCACTTGTCCAGTGTCAGGTTGAAAGTTCAATTGTTTATATATCTATCTCCTTCCCAACAGAACTGGGATTGTACCTGTGTTGGTCAGCTGTCTTCAGAGTGTCAGGTATGCATAATTGTACAGGCTGTGTTTAGCTCCAGGCTTGATCACTGTAATTTGCTTTCTGCAAGTTTGCAAGAGCTGTGTTGGGGTTGTACATCTTTTGTGTGTGTCATCAACCAGGTCCAAGGCAAATACATAAGAGCCAAAAAATACACAACTAATGTACAGGCTCAAGCTAAAGCTGTCCCCGCTTTTCCTTTCTTCTTTTCCTCTGTCTTAACCTTCCCCCTCTTCTCCCACTCCCCCCTCCTCCTCCAGTCCTCTGCTGCAGTTCGAAGCAGCGTGGGCACTCACCAACATAGCCTCCGGGACGTCAGAGCAGACCCAGATGGTCGTACGATGCGGAGCTGTCCCTCTCCTAGTCCAACTCCTCTACTCCAAGGACGTCCACGTGTGTGAGCAGGCACTGTGGGCCCTGGCCAACATCTCGGGAGACGGACCAGAGTGTAGAGACTTTGTCGTCAGTAGCGGCATCATCGACCCTCTTCTCTCATTTGTCAACCCTGGGACACCCGTAGGTCTCCCTCCTCTCTCCTCTCTCCTCTCTCCTCTCTCCCTCTTCTCTCCTCTCTCCCTCCTCTCTCCTCTCTCCCTCTTTGCTCTAGCCTTTCCATCTCTTCCTCCCTACCCCTCTCTTTTTCTCTCTTCCCTCTCTCTTCTCTCCTTCGCGTTTACCTACATCTCTCCCTTCTCATTTTTCTCCCTTCTCTTTGTCTCTTGCTTCAGCTCTCTATTCTTGCTTTGCCCTTTCTTTAATCCCCTCATTCCCCTTCTCTCTTTGTCATTGACACACACACACACACACACGGCTGCATGCGGTAACGCAGATAAAAGCCGCCCATCCTCTCGTTCGCTTTAGTCCTGCCTACACTTTACCTCTCTCTCTTTTTTCCCCAATCACAAACACACACACACACACACACACACACACGGGCACACACACGATCTTAACCCTGCGCCCTGATACGTGTACTTAGCCATTCTCCGTTCCGCACGGCAAGCACCAAATTGCACCATAACTGTACACCCTGTTTTTACAGTTCTACTCTCTGAACGATAAGTACAGTTCTTCTTACACGTTAACACTGAAAGATAAGCAGTGTGTGATCGCATTACGGATGCAAACTGAGAGAAATTCAATGAACCTTGTCTAAAAAGTGTGTACGCTTAATGGAGCCTCCGAGTAATGGACACATTGGGACCAGGCATTTTGTACTTTATAGGGAGGTTGTCCTCTCTTTGGAGGTCAAAAATGTAGTAGGCAATAGGGATATGAAAGTTTAAGAGGTTAAGAGATTTTTTCTACCGCGTCCTTTATTCGGAGTGTGCTTTATTTGGAGTGATCTTCATCTCAGTGGTTCTGACGCAGTGTGTGTGTCTTTGTCAGCTATGGTGTTGCAGTTCAGCACGGCCTGGCGCTCTTTTTCTAATCCAGTGTAGTGTTCTGTCACAATGCAAGCTTGTACATACCACAAGTGCACAGAAGAAGGATTTCCAATATTACTACACGTGCATGGTGCAACAGTCTTAGCAGCCTTAACATGCAACAAATGAAAAAGCAGAACATGTATACATATGCACACTCGTTGGTTTGCTAAGGGCTGAATGACAGGGAATAATTATGTATAAAGCTTTGCCTCCACTTGCTTACAACCTAATACCTTTATGTACTGTGAAGCATTTATGAACTTAGAGGAAGAATTTAATGGCTGTTGATGACTCTCATATACAGTGTATGCAGATACAGTATGCTGCCTACTGTGCTAATGCTACGTACTGTATCTTTTGGACTAAGTGTGTCATATTAAGTTATCTGCGTGGTCTGTGTGTCTGTCTGCAGCCAAACTTCCTCAGAAACGTCTCGTGGACGCTGTCCAACTTGTGCCGCAACAAAAACCCATCTCCTCCTTTTGAGAGCGTCTGCAAGGTGAGATCATTTACCACACAGCCTGACCATAACTAGTATTTCATTATAAACTGGTTTGGTTGGTTGAGACATGACATTTGCTAGTCGGCATTTTGTTCTTAGCTCGTAACCCATGTTCATAACCTGTTTTTCTTATGGCATAACCAACAACATAATTATTTCGTGACAAAACTAGTCTTAAATGAAAAGTATTAAAGTGCAAACCCTCGGCGAACTGCGCATGCGTGACACCGCTAATTGATGGGCTGGGCTATTAGTATGCGTTTACTCGTGGTCTCCCGCTAGTGTAGCTCGCGGAGAGTCTGACACGGGCTAACTGCACTACTAGATAGCATGCGGGAGTCGATACTCGTCCTGCGTTGCAACTTCTGGTGCCTCCAAGGTGCACTGATCAGGTCGAGGGTAGCCGGTGATAATTTGCATATTGGCCTTTTCACTTGGTTTTCACGCCATATATAACAGTACTTTTACGAAATTTGCCAATTTTAAATGAAGCCAGTGTGGCACTGGAAATTTGGTATCACTCTTTCGTTGTCTCGTTGCGCGTGGTGGCAGAAAACATGGTAACAGTCAGACGGACAGACACACTTACGAACCAAGTACCGTAACCCTCACTACGCCGAGGGTTAATGAAGTAACAAGGTCTGGTTTAACCCTCCCTCTCCTGTCCTTCCTCCCTACCTCCCTATCTTTATTCCCTCCGTTCCTTTCTCCTGTCCAGACTCTACCAGCTCTAGTCTACCTGGTCCAGAACAATGACATGGCAGTGAAGGTGGATGCATGTTGGGCTCTCTCCTTCCTGGCCGATGGACAGGAGAAACAGATCCAGGTTAAACCCTCTCAAATCTCTAATACACAAAAACACACTTGCACGACCTCCAGTTTAGCTCTACCCAAAGCTATCACGGCTTTAAAAATGAACCTGCAGTTTTCCTCTCTTACTGTTACTCCCTCCCTCTTGCTCTCAGTTTTCTCTCTCTCCTCACCTCCCTCTCTCCCCTCCCTCTCTCCTCCCTCTCCTTCCTCTCTCCCTCTCTCACACCAAACAAAAACACCGATTCAATTTTGCTGTAGTGGATGGTGTTCAGCTCCAAGGGCTGGTACCCCTTCCTTTCCCTCCCCATCTTCCCTCCCCCTCTATAAATACCTCCACCTCTGCCAATATCTAGTTGTTAGAGGAAGACATCCTACCTAGTGGTCTGAATTGTACTGTTAACTCTTTGGGATTGAGCGATAGGGACACAATGCATCAATGCATCAATAATTACACAGCATTCCAATTTTATATCTTAGGTCAACATGTATGTACTCAGTGTGACTTTGTTATGTGAGAAATTGCAAGTTGTGTCGCTAAAAAAAACAAGAAAATGAAATGCATCGCATCACACACACTATAGTACTTCATGCATACTACTTGAAATCGGTTCCTGTGGACCTTATGATGATTGATGTTCAAAGTGAGGAGTTGTGTGGTGATGAACAAACAGTATGCATACTGTAGTGATGTAGCGCTACTAAAAGGTGGTGCTAGTAACTCAGTTTAGTTCCTCTGACACAAGAAATACGCCCTGTAATCCTTTGAACAATTTCTTTCGTCGTGAGTGGCTCTGTCCCACACGAACACACTACTGGTCATCTTAGAGGCACTATCGTCCACCCTTTCTATGCGTGCTGCGTGCAATTTCTAGGCGAGGTCAACGGTGTACGTACTGCCGCCGTGGTAGTATTCCACGTGTACTTTTTGAATGGAAAGATGGAAGGAAAGTTTGAGAGGGCAAGACCTGGCAGTCGTAGCTCACTGTGGCATTAACGGGATAATCGAGGCTTGAAGGTGTGGACTCCCTTCGCTCTCCAATTATATCTAAGATCATAGACTCTTAAACGTACATGCTACATGAAACACTGCGTGTGTTGATTGTACTAAACTTTACTATAATAATAGAAAACAAGCTATTACTTTCCGTGTTGCTGCTCTCTTTGCACGCAAACAGTCAGTCCAACTTTGCTGTGACAGAACTTGCATTTTTGTAGGTGTAATTCATGGCTTCGTGAATTTCAGTTTCGCAGAAAACACAGATACACACTGCGACCGTGTGCGACTATAGCCTTTGGCCCCACACTTATGAGGAAGTAGTTTTTCTAGTTTTTAGTACTGCCAACTAAGGTTTCACACACACACACACAAACATGGTAGCAGGGATTAACCTTCTTTCATTTCATCCCCCTTATCTCCTCTCTCCTCTCTCCTCTATTTTCCTTGAAAAATTCATGCGTCTAAGTGTGTGTGTGAATGTTAAGTCAACACTCTCTATCTTTATAATCCTACATATATACTGTAGCCCGCCACTAGCAACTGATGTATGTTATACAGTATTATACAGTACATATGTTCACAGGTGGTGGTGGATAGTGGAGTTATTCCGGTCCTAGTCCCCCTCCTGGCTCACCCCGACAACAGAGTGGTGGTGAGAGTGACCTCTTACCCGCCTCTCTCTTTCTGCTCTTTCCTCCCCCCCCTCTTTACTTTTAGAACAAGGTAGTGGCAAGTCCTCTTTGGCCTCTGTCAGTCTCCTTCTTCTTCTTACTCAGCCCCACACTATTTTCCCTCTCTTCTTCTTTCCCTTTAGTCCACTCCCTCCCCCAATCCTCCACCTCTCTTCCTTACCCCATACTTTCTCCTCCTTCCTTTACTCTCTTTCTTTACTTTTCTGAGTCACTCTATCTTACTCTGACCCCCTCTCCACCCTCTCTCCATCTTCCTCCCTCCCCTGTCTCAGTTGCCAGCCTTGCGGACATTGGGTAACATAGTGACAGGAACAGATGATCAGACGCAGGCCGTGCTAGATGGTGGAATCCTACCTCATCTCAGGAACCTCGTCACCAATACCAGACCTACCATCATCAGGGTACGTCATGTGATGTCATGTGACCTAGTATGACATCATCACGTGATTTGTACAATCTCGTGATGTTGTAAACTGGTCATGTGTTCTTGTGTGATGTCATCAGCCGATCACGTGGCCTATGTTATTTACCCCACCAGCCACACACACCCTAAGTGGAGAAAAATTACAACGAGAACAATTCATTTTCTTTCAGGTTCAAGTATCTCATTTACCCAAAGTTCAAGGTCCATGACCCCTGAAATATGCCCTAAAACCCTTGCATTATTGCCCCACGCACGTGTCACGCCCTCGAGTACCGGAAGGCGTGGCATGCTCTATTTGTGCATCAACATTGGTAATATTGAAAAAGAAAGTCGCAGGAAGGCAGTCAGTTGCAACGGAGAGCTTTATTCCAGAGAAATAATGTGCCCTAAACCCTTGCATTAATGCCCCACGCACGCGTCATGCCCTCGAGTACCGGAAGGCGTGGCATGCTCTATTTGTGCATCAACGTTGGTAATATTGAAAAAGAAAGTCGCAGGAAGGCGGTCAGTTGCAACGGAGAACTTTATTCCAGAGAAGCCCTAAACCCTTGCATTATGTCCCACTTACGTACATACACTTGTATGTACAAGCCCCGTGTAAGCATGTGCATATTTCGGAGATCGTAATCAATTGAACTGAACGAAGCTCAACGGTGAGTTACGTAATATTATGCTGACTACCTAATGACCCCCCACGAGCTTGTCATGTGTGTGTAAAATGAAAATACTCCATTTTTGCTTAATGAAGATCCTGCGAGGTCTGAATGAGGTATTACCTCTCAAGCAAATGTATATGAGGTGTGACATCATATGATGTCATTTGATGAACTGGTAATGTCTTTGAATGCATAATGTGAGCTCGATACACCCAGCAATTATTCATACCATTATAGTACGTGCATGCAAACATGTACGAGGTTGATAAACAACAACACCCACGGCAACTCACTGGTCCTTTTGATGTGGCGTATTGTGGTTTTGACCAACACGGTACTACATATGCCGCTCACAAATTATGTGCCGTATATACTCAAACGTTAGTTTGTTAATAGAGTTAGCATTTAATCGAGGCCAGCCGTCTTCTCGGGCATTCATTGGAATTTCAAAATCTCTCTGTAAGGACACTCCTGAAATGAGGACACCTCACCTTTTGTCCCCAAAAACAGTGATTGCTTGCAATTTAAGGGACACCTCTAATAAGGACACAAAATGTAGAGGGGAAAAAACTTTTTGCTGTTTGGGACCAAGTAGGAATTTAACGTGTGGGTAGTACTGTAAAATCTGACAACTTCTATAATTGAGATGATGTCATTAGTTGATTACATGATGTCGTGTGCTTTTAACTAAGTCAACTCTGATGCTAATGATGCGATGCCAGTATGTCACTCCAATTAGCGGTTTTTGACATCAGCGTCAATGCTCGGGTTAATTAGCCAACTCCTTGCTTCTAAAGAACTCGTAATTCGACACGTAATTTTGTTGTGTGTCTTGTTATTAATGCGGGTAATTGTGTAGAGGTTGTGTAATCATGTTAGCCGGAGTGTTTGAAGCTATTTGGGAGGTGTTCGGTCAACACAGCGACCCTGTGTGGGCCGGGGGCTCAATTCAGTCTCTTCAATCACTGCTGCTATTGTATCCCCTGAGAGAACGTGCCCGTGTCGCCATATTGAAGATGGCGGCTCCCATTGATGTCTTTCGCTTTGATGTGGCCTCGAAATAACATGCAGTGTAATAGGCTATTGTAGTCCGAGCTATTCATGCAGGCTTAACCTCCCCCCCTCCCTCCCCTCCTCCTCCTCTCTCTCTCCTCTAACCTTGTGTCTCGCCTGGTACTCTGTTCACAGGAAGCTGTGTGGACCTTGTCCAACATCGTCGCTGGCAACACACACCAAGTCCAGGTTAGTTGGCAGGGGAGCTTGGGAGGTCCACTGCCTGTTACAATAGACTAGTCAGGACTGTCTCTCTCCCCTCTCCCTTCCTCCACCTCTCTCTCACACTTTCCTTCTCCCTCTTTCCCTTCTTACTCCATCCCTCCCTGGCCTTAAAGATGGTGATAGATGCCGACCTAGTTCCAGTGGTGATCGAGGCACTGAAACTGGGAGACTTTCGCACTCAGAAAGAAGCAGCCTGGGCCGTCAGTAACTTCACAGTGGGAGGAACCCCCGAACAAGTTAGTCCTTCCATTCTCTCCCTCTCTCACTTCCTCCATACTCTTAAGTTGTGTTCACCCCGAAGATAGAAATGGATTATATCCTCTTGCATTCGGGCATGCGCGCCCTGTGAACCTAGTCTAACTCCCTAACGTCCCTTCATACAACCTTAATCTCTCCATTCTCTCTTTCATGCCCACACATGTGCACTATTTCCTGGTTTTTGCCTCTTGTTCATGCCAGGGTTTCTTTTAGGGGGGCACATAGGGGTTTTGCACTTATTTCCACTTACGGCCTTGCATAATGTAGCGCTGATAGTTTGCAAAAAGGGGAGCTACTTATTGTGACTCAACTCGTGTGTTTGTGGGTAGAATTCACATGCACGCACATTATGTAGACCTGCGTAGTAGCACAAGGGTTTAGTACTTGTCTGAACCGTGCTAATGTTTGACTGCAGGTGACATACCTGGTACAGCAGGGAGCAGTGGAGGCTCTGTGTCAGCTCCTGGACTGCAAGGACACCACCGTTAGTTGGAACACTGACTCTAGTTACACCCTCTCCTTCTTACCTTCTCTCCCATCTCTGCATATCCCCGTTTGCTCTCTCCTTCCCTGGCTCTTTTACCTCCTTCCTCTCCACCTCTTTCCATCCCATCTCTCCTTACTTCCCTCTGTCCTACCAGCCCCCTTGTGGGTATATACCCAGACCCCATACAGTGAACCTCTGAATAAGGGATACCTTGGGGGCATTGAAAGTGTCCCACATTCAGAAGTAGTAGAATATTAGTATGGGGCAGAACCCAGTGTCCCTTATAGAGAAGTGTCTTTTATTTGGAAAATGCTTTTTACTGACCCCCTCCTCTGTTTTTACGTTGGGGTCTTGGTACCCGAGACTACTCTCCCGCCATCTGTGCCCTTTATAATGCTGAAGCCAGATCGAAAAAGTGGGGTCCTTAGGTTTCCAACTTTCGCATTGCCCGTCGCACCATGCCGCATTGCATCCTGCCGTGAAGATAGAAATGGTTCCTATCCTCGCGGCACGGCGCAACGGGGCAGTGCAACATATCCTTAATGCAAGCATATGTTTTAAGCCCGGTACATAATTATACTGTATGTCAGAGTAGGGAACAAAAGACAGATTAATTTCATAAGAGGTGAGGGGTCAAAGTCTCTCATTAACAGACACCTCTAATGCCCTCTTGCACTCCCCATCTGTCCTCTCCCTTCCCTCTCTCCCTTCCCTCCTCCACCCTTCCCAGCGCCCTTCGGTCTCAGTCTCTCGATCCCTTCCTCTTTTCCTTCGCTCTCCTTCCTTCCCCGTCTCCACCCTTGCAAGTCTCTCCCTTCCTCTCTCGCTCCCTTCCTACTCCACCCTCCCAGACACCGACCGTGATCCTGGATGGACTGGCAAACATCCTGAAGATGCGGGAGCACATACGAGAGTCCGCTGTCCACTCAGATTGAAGAGGCAGATGGACTGGAAAAGATTGAAAAACTCCAGCACCACAAGAACCAGGACATTTATCGGCTGGCCTACAAGATCATTGACAAATACTTCACTCAGGAGGTATATACAATAGACGAAGCAGCGTTTTTGGCAAACCAGACCAGTCAAAGCCCCGAGACACAACTTTTGCACTGCCCTCTTAACCACACGTCTCTAGCATATGAGTATATACGCTTCCGTCTCGTCGTACAGTGAGACAACCAGGCCTCTCCCTGTCGCTATGAGTCCTCGACGGAGGAAACTGCGTTCGACGGCTCCACGGAATATAACATGCAGTCTTGCTTGCATTAGCTCATCAAAAGTTGTTGTTGCTTTCGTTCTACTATAGAAAAATCGAGCAATTCAGATGACTAAGGTGTGTGTATTTGGGCTAACTTTGCTCACTTACTATGGTAGTGTTGAAGGTATATATAGGTGCTTGATTACGTCTTGCTTTTATCTTCTCTCCTCCTTTCCTTTATCTCTTCCCCCTCCTTCCTTCCTTCCTTGTTCCCTTTCCCTCCCTCCTCTCTTGTACAGGGCTACGATGACGCTGATGTGATGCCAGACGCCACTCAACAAGGCTTTCAGTTTGGTCCCACTTCAGACATACCGGAGGGCGGCTTCCAATTTTAGCCCTCCTGGATAAATGTCACCAGAAGCCTTCCTCATTGCTGTAATATATCCCTGTGCCCAGAAAAACACTTTTGTTCAGTGGTTATAATATATACCTAGTGCTAGTATGCTAGTGCTCTCTTTTTGTATGATTGCCGTTGCCAATGACATGCATAATATGCACTATACTATCATTATTATTGGTGATTATACCGTTTTTATCAAGCTATTATGCACAGCAGTAAAATTTCTTTTCTTGTATAGTCATTCGCTAAATGCATATTATTGTGTGGTATATTATGTTGTATGCATTTGTGATTATTGTGTTCATAATTAAATTTGTTGGTGCATGTGGTTTCC